CACACAGTCCGACAAGTTTCCTACCAAGAAATATCTCGCCTTCTTGGCCCTGCCTGTGAGCCATCAGGCGAGGGCGTCCCTTGCCCTCTGGCACGGTCTCCCCCAGTGGAAAGCAAGACGTGTGTATGAGACGGCTGCGAAGGCCCATTTGTATCTGGGGGTCAGTCCTCTGCTTTGGTACCAGGCTATCTGAAAATAAGTTGAACCCCACGCGGCAGTTTCCAGGCTCCGGTCTCCCTCCGCGGGGCGCCGGTGCCCAGCCTCGGGCCTGTGCGCCCCCTTTTGTTCACTCGGCACAGGCTCCTGTCTGCACCCCCCTGAAGGTCCTGCCTGGGTCAGAGACCGAGCTCTGACGGACACGCCCAACGAGAGGCCTCGTGTCCCCGGTCTCTCCTTTCTCCCAAGCGCCTGGCGGCTGTGGCTCTGGGGGAGCTTCTCGCTGGCAGGCTGACGTGTGTCACCTGCTCACCCAGACGGCTCTCCTTTCCGAGTTCCAGGGCTGCCACGGGCCGCAGCCCCGCTGGGTGTCAGTCAGACAGACGAGGATGCGCCCCAGCGGAGCGGGGCGGAACAGCCGCCCGCCAGCCTGGCGCAGGCGCTCCCCGCAAGGCTAAGGGCCTTCCCTCCCCAGGCCGTGCACCGGTGCTCCCTACTGCGGCAGGGCACGGGCCTCGGCTATTGATAGAGGCCATCTCTCGGAGGACAAGCCACTTACAGCCCCCGCCGTCCTAGCTGGAGAAAGTTAGCCGGTGTCCAGCAGATCGAAGTCCCAAAACAGAACACGTGCTCACTGTCCCCAGCCTGCCCGCCGGGGGGAAGAGCGTCTGTGGCCACTCCGCATCTTGGAGATCTCACGTGGTACCTGTCTGTGCTCAGAGCAAGGACCTCCCCTCACTTGATTAACCCACTTCTCCCAGAAGCAGAAGCGTTCCTGCTTGTCTCTTATTCTCATTCTCCGTTTGTCTTCTGAGGCTTAAGAGAAAGGGGGAAGGAGCTGGGGGGCTGGAGGGGAGCTGAGATCCACGTGGAGGCTCCCTGATAATGGAAATGAAGTGAACCGCATAACCTTTGGGGAAGGACCCATGCCAGGCTCTGTCACACGCGATGCCGGCATGCCCTTACCGGCATTCCTCATGACGGGCAGCGACTGAGTCTGAATGAACGAGATGTGCTCACTGTCAGCACTGGGCAAAGAAAACGCATCTGACCGTCACACCTAGGAGCAGAGGCGCCCAGAATCACCTAAACTACAGGATGGGCATCCTGCCCAGTAGAAATCTAAGCAAGGGAACTTCCATCAGTTCCAATCAATAAATGAGCATCAGCTATGCACCAGGGTATTCCCTGGTGGCTGAGATGGTAAAGAATCTGCCTGCAATGCAGGAGATGTGGGTTCAGTCCCCAGCTGGGGAAGATTCCCTGGAGAAGGGAATGACTATTCACTCCAGCGTTCTTGCCTGGAGAATCCCATGGACAGAGGAGCCTGATGGGTGGTCTGTGCCACCAGGATGGTCCATGGGTTACAAAGAGCTGGACATGACTGAGCAAGTAACACATGCTCAACAGCACTACGCACCAGACACCTAGGTTCTGAGGATGGCACTCAAGCAAAACACCTCTTCCTTGAGTGGAATTCACAGACTGGCGGGAGGGTCTGATAACAGCACAGCTGGTTCCAACATGACGTTCAGGTGATTCTAACCTCCTGTGCTGTGATACTGTCAAATGTGCTGGACTCTGAATGGGTGAGTGCCGGGGGGGCCTCAGAGAAGACGGGAAGGGTGAGCCTGTGGGCTGGGGCCTGCAGGCAGGAGCCTGGGACAGGGTGAGCAGCTGCTGGGGGATCACAAGAAGGGGGCCCAGGAGGAGGGGTGTGGGTGCAAACCAGGGGGGTCTCCAGGGACCTGCACACTTTCTGCCTACGGAAACCTCACTGGCCCGAGCACACTCCCACCCACACGCCAGCAGAACACGGTGGTTGAGAACATGGACTCTGGAACGGAGCACCCTGCAGTCTGACCCCCCTCCCGACTCTCAGCAGGGGAGCAGGGGCCCGAGGCTGAATCCGGCTGTAGGGCCCCAGGCAGCGTATCCAGCCTCCCTGGGCCTCAGCGTGCTCATCTGTGAAATGAGAGAAGAGTCGCATCCATCTCACAGGGTGGTGGTGAGGCTTGGCTGAGACGCCCAAATAATGCCCACGGCGCCTGGCACACAGTCGGCACCAACATCATCCCTAGTGACCTCACCCCATCGCGTCTCCTTCGTCTGTAACTTAGGGGTTTGGAGGATTAACTCACCTCCCAGAGGAGGTGCTTGTAACTGCACAGTGTTGGTTTCCCGATTCCCCATGAGCCGAGGCTAACGTTACCCAGTCAAGGGAAACTGTCCCGGCCGCAGCTGCCCCAGCAGATGTGGACATTCACGGATGTTCCCGGCTCTGGCTGAGGCCCCGGGCCGGGTCAGACCTCAGGGGCCCCTGGAAGAGTGGAGGTGACCTGTGAAAGCATGGGGCTCAGTCCTTGCGGACGGCAGCCTGCAGGCAGCAGAGGGAGGGCTGTGGGCCGGTGCCCACCCACCTGAGGGGCCCCTGCCCGGGACTCCCGCCTGGGCCTACCCTGGCGAAGGAGGGACAGCGCTCCCTCCTCCTGCGAGATGGCCGGCGTGTCCCTGGAGTCGTGCTGGGTCACTGCCGTCACACACCACCCAGGGCCAGTCTCGAGCCGGAGCCCTCCTTGCCCACTTGGGTAGCAGCCATGAGTCTAAGCTTGTAGCACAGTCTGCCCCACCAGGCTGAGGCAGAGCCCAATTCTGGACCCGAGCTTTGGGTGCTAAAGCACCCCTCAGAGCCCCGCCATCCCCAGCGGGTAAACCAGCCCCTGGGTGCAAGCCCCCAGGCCCCAGCCAGGTGACTGGGAACCGCCAGGTGACGCCTTGCTCTTGCTGCAGAGTCCTGACCCTGGCCCAGATCTCACACACACACACACACACACACACACCCCTCCCACAGCCTGGGGCGTGAGGTGCCGGGCCCCAGATCTCACACACACACACACACACACACACACACACACACACACACCTCCCACAGCCTGGGGCGTGAGGTGCCGGGCCCCAGATCTCACACTCACACACAGACACACACACACACAGATCTCTCACACACAGACACACACACACACCTCCCACAGCCCGGGGCGTGTGAGGTGCCGGGTGAGCTCCAGGCAGAGGAGGGCGGCCGTGTGGCGCAGACCCTCAGAACCGCTGAGACAGCCTCGCAGGACCGTCAGCCCCAGTGCCCTGTCGGAGTGACGGCCCACGGGGACTCGGAGATTAATCAGAAGGACCTGAACGTCCTGGACGTCCTGGAGCAAGGCTCCCGGGGAACCAGGTGAATATGCCGCCCGGGCCCAGAGCTCTCAAGCAGGCATGCTGCGGCTGGGTCTTGTTCAGCATGGGGCACCCAGGCGGACTGCGGCTGCACGTGAGTGGCCAGCTCACTGCTGTTCCAGAGGGGGAGGCCGCCTGCGACCTGGGCCTCTGTGTGGCCACGGTGTGGCAGGAAGGGGAGGAGAGCTCCAGAGGGTCTCCTTACCAAGGCCTTAAGAGGTCCACTAAGTGCCCCTCTTCCTCCAGGAAGCCTTCCTGGCCCCACTGGCCCACAGTCATCTCTCCTTTGAAAAGCTGTTACCCAGGCCTGGCTTTTCCCATTTGCTGTTTTGTTTGGGGCTAACATTTCAAAATATAATTTAGTAAGTGCTTTACATATATTATGTGACTTTGTGCTCAGAACTCTATGAAGTGGTTGTGATTGCACCCATCTGACAGATGGGGAAGTGACAACTTGTAAAGGTCAGATAGTGTGCATGTCCTGCCTTCTTGTCATTCTCTTCCCCATGGGACTGAGCTCCCTCAGATTAGATTATAGAGTCCTCAGTGCAAACACGACAGCGCTTCCCCCTTCCGTGCCCTGGGCCGCTAAGCCCCCAGGCAAACCCCAACCCCTGAGCCCTAATTAACCCAGCATGCCGCGTCACTCAGTCGTGTCTGATGCTTTGTGACCCTATGGGGCCCCCAGGTTCCTCTGTCCGCGGGATTCTCCAGGCAAACACACTGGAGTAGGCTGCCATGCCCTCCTCCAGGGGATCTTCCTGGCCCGGGGATCAAAGCTGCGTCTTTTACGTCTTCTGCGTTGGCAGGTGGGTTCTTTACCACTATCATCACCTGGGGTGCCGAGGTGGTCTTAATAAATAAAAATGTGGTCAACCAATGAAAATCAGCCACATGTCAACTGGCCATCTGACAAGGATGCCTGTATACATACTGTGTGTGCATGCTGTCGCTTCAGTCCTGTCTCTTTGCGACCCCATGGACTGTAGCCCACCAGGCTCCTCTGTCCATGGGGATTCTCCAGGCAAGAATACTGGAGTGGGTTGCCGTGCCCTCTTCCAGGGGATCTTTCCAACGAGGGATTGAATCTGGGTCTCCCTCTTGGCAGGTGAATTCTTTACTGCTGAGTTAGTGGGGAAACCCTGTTTATATGCTGTGAAGTGAAGTCGTTCTTTGCGACTCTTTTCGACCCCATGGACTGTTTAGTCCATGGAGTTCTCCAGGTCAGAACACTGGAGAGGGTAGCCTTTCCCCCTCCAGGGATCTTCCCAACCCAGAGATCGAACCCAGGTCTCATGTATTCATTGCAGGCGGATTCTTTACCAGCCGAGCCACCAAGAACGGTCCCTGCTTAAGTTGCAGATGAATTATCAGGACACTTGACTGAACCATTTCTCCTGCACGGACAGCGGAGGAGCTGCAGTTCTGCGGGAACACCACATCGCCGGGCTTAGAATGGCCCAGAGCCTGCGGTGGGGCAACCCCGGCCGCCTCGCCGGGAGCGGGCGGGGATGACGGCCGCCGAGGGCACGGGTCAGCCGTGCGCGCCAGGAAGGCCCGAGGCTGGGGCAGCGGGCGCCGGGGCTCCGCCGCGGAGCGCGGCGCGGCCTCACCTTGGGTGGCGTAGGCGTCGGCGGCCATGCGCAGCCGGTAGGGGGGCACGCCCGTCAGCGGCCAGTCCTCCAGGCCCACCCGGGCGTAGAGGCTGAGCGCGCCTTCATAGTCGCCTTCCACGTAGTGCAGCTTGGCCAGGACCAGACTGGACTCCTGAAGGAATTCTGACTGGAGGGGAGAGGAGAGAAGAGAAACTGTCCTCAGATGCACGCCTGACACCCCGTCGGGCCGGCGGCGCTCCAGGCCCGCACGGCGGGCGAGCCTTCCAGGCCGCGCCGTCCACAGGGCCCCGGGGCGGGAACGACGCGCCCGGCCCAGCGACTGACGGTCTCCCCGCGCCCGGCCCAGCGACTGACGGTCCCCCACCCCCGGGAGTATCCCCCCGCCACCATCAGGCCGCAGTACTGCCGCCTGCCGCCGCACAGGCCATCCTTAAAAGCGGCGCGTCACGCGGGCCGCAGACACCGGCCAGGGTGGTCAGGCCTCCGGAGGCTGAAAGCGGACACGTGCCGCCTAGGGCTGGGAGGGCGGGGGCATAGGCGGTGACTGCTGATGGTTACAGGCTCATTTCTGGGGTGGTCAAAGTGTTCTAGAATTGACGTAATATTTGCGCAGCTCTGTGACTACTGTGAAAGCGAAGTGAAAGTCAGTCGTGTCCCACCCTTTGTGACCCCATGGACTATACAGTCCATGGAATTCTCCAGACCAGAAGACTGGAGTGGGTATCCTTTCCCTTCTCCAGGGGATCTTCCCAACCCAGGGATCAAACCCAGGTCTCCCGCATTCACTGCAGGCGGATTCTTCACCAGCTGAGCCACAAGGGAAGCCCAAGAATACTGGAGTGGGCAGCCTCTCCCTTCTCCAGGGGATCTTCCCGACCAGGAGGCAAACCAGGGTCTCCTGCAATGCAGGTGGATTTTTTTTTTTTTAAGTGACTATATTAAAAACCATTAAATTGCATACCTTATTTTTTTTGCAATAGTAGATGCTTATAAGTTTTCACAATCAATACCCAGACAATGAAATAAAAGCATCATTAAAATTGCAAGCCATAATGCAAACATGATTAACCTAACAATGTAAAATAATTACATATAGTTTGAAATGTTAAGTAGAGTGATGTGGTAAGTGGAAGTGCCTACATGCACATGTTTTCAGCTACCCAGCCAGTCTCTGTCTTTTGGTTGCGCCTTTAATCCATTTATATTTAAGGTAATTATTGATATGTATGATCTTATTACCATTTTCCTAATTTTGGGGGGAGGTTTATGTAGGTCTTTTCCTTTTCTGGTGTCTCCTGCTTAGAGGTTTCTTTAGCATTTGTGGTAAAGCTGGTTTGGTGGTGCTCAATTCTCTTAACTTTTGCTTGTCTCTAAAGCTTCTGATTTCTCTGTCAAATCTGAACAAGGATTCTATGGCATGTGAATTATGTTTCAATAAAGCTGCTATAAAACAGGCTCCCCTCAGGCCTGGGCCAAGGATGGAAGGAGTGCGTCATGAACAAAGCACGCAAGCACCTGTCTCAGCAAAGGCAGCTCCATGGACGTCCTGGTGGGTCGAGCCCACAGGAGGCTGCGCCACCGACTGTGGCCCAAACAGCCTGAGGAGAGAGGTTTTCTAAACTGGTGTGAAGAACTGGACTTTCTTTCTTTCCAGGGACAAGCTTTTCTCGCTGAGCCATTCCAGCTGGTTATGGGGACTGAGCGGGTCCCTCCCGGAGGGTGCACGTTCGAGCTGTCCTCTGACGGGCTTGTCCTCCTCCCCATCAGAGACTGGCTTCCCCGCCCACACGTGTGCCAGCCTCATCCTGGGCCCTTCCCCACCCCACTTATCCCTGGGGAGAGGAGAGGCGACCCAGCCGTCTATGTAAGGGAACAGATCTATCACCCTCTCTTAGGCATCCTCCTTGGAACCCCAGCCACACAAGGCTGAAGTTTTCAGCTGAGGGACGCACACCACGAAGCGGCACTATCCCATAATCTATGGCTGGGATGGGGTGGGCGATACACAGGTCACTGGCCAGAGTGTGGCAAAGCCAAGGTGGTCGACTTCCAGGCAGCCCTTGAAAGGGCGCAGGGGCAGCTGGAAAGGACACAGGGCAGACAGACTGAGGGGAGCAAAGGGGTTTTAAGAGTGGCCCAAGCGAGTGACACCAATGCGCGGCATCAGAGTTCTATTTGGAAATAGAAAGAAATCAAAGCAGACTTGAGAAAACAGGAAGAAAGCTACGAAAAAAAGCATCCACCGCGGGGTTCTCCAGCAGGAGAGAGGGACAGGGCAGCCCTGGGTGTGGTGGAAAGGCTTCCCAGGGGTTCTGCCGTGCCCTCTCTCTCTCTCCCTGGAACTGAGAACCGCAGGCTGGAAAACAAACTGAAGGAGGAGGAGAGGGGAGTTACTGTCTCCCGGGTCCAGAGCTTCAGCTTCGGGTGATGAAAAGCTTCCGAGGATGGGTGGTGGTGATGAGAATATGAACGCACTTAAAACCACTGAACTGGGACATCCCTGGTGGTCCAGTGGTTAAGACTTTGCTCCCCAGTGTAGGGGGCGCAGGTTCGATCCCTGGTCGGGGAGCTAAGAACCCACATGCCTGGCGGCCAAAAACCAAAACATGAAACGGAAACAGTATTGTAACAAATTCAATAAAGACTTTAAAAGTGGTCCACATAAAAAAAAAAAAAAATCTTTTAGCAAAATGAAAAATGAAGCCAGTGAACTATATGCTAAGAAACAGTTATAATGGTAAATTTCATGTTATTTATATTCTACTGCAAAAAAAAAGTTTTAAAAATTAAACCTGAAAAAAATTTTTCATTAATAATAACAAACTTGAAGGCCAGATGGCAAATATGCAGGAGCTTGAAGAAAATTCCCGGTGATCGAGCACAGCATGGAGCTGCGGCCTGGAGAGGCTTGCTGGGTGAGTGCGGAGGAGGAGACGGCCACCGCCCAGCCAGGGACAAACACAACTTCCTCAGCTTGAGCCAGAGGCCAGCCCCTGGCTGCCCGTTCAGACTCTTTGCCCCCACAGTGCCCCCTGCTGTGGTCTCTCCAGCCTTGGTGCACTTGTGTTTCGTGGGCACCTATGAGGTCGCTGGATGGCATCACTGATCCAGTGGACGTGAACGTGGGCAAACTCCGGAAGCTAGGGCAGGACAGGGAGGCCTGGCGTGTTGCAGTCCATGGGGCCGCAGAGGCGGACAAGACTGAGCGACTGAGCAGCAGCGTGTCTGCACCCGGCTTTGCCCAGCTCCCAGGCAGGAGGCCCTGGACCTTAAGGTCAAGTGGAGGGCAAGGTTCACATGGGCCAGCGGGAGTGGGGCGGTCTGCCCACGCAGAAGCAGGACGACTCGAGCATGTGCACAAGGCTTTCCTGCTCACGCTCAGCCGCATCGGGCTCTTCGCGACCCTTGGACTGTAGCCCGTGGGATTTTCCTGGCAGGGTTTCCGCTGTCCCTGGGATTTTCCCATCCAGCATACTGCAGTGGGCTGCCGTTTCCTGCTCCAGGGGAATCTTCCCGACCCAGAGATGGAACCTGCGTTTTCTGTGTCTCCGGCATGGCAGGCAGATTCTTTACCTGCTGAGTCATTGGGGAAACCCCGCTTTTGGCACTGGGAGAAAAATTCTATAGGCAGAATCAGGAAAATAGCAAAAACTGACATGTATCTAGAGCTATTCAATTGTGAAAGAATTTGTCCCTGAAACTCAAAACACCTTGAGCTAAGTGGGCTTACAGGAGAGAAATGTGAAGCTCAGAGAGGTTAAACAGCTTCCCAGAATCACATAGCTTATTACTTCACACTGGAAAGTAAACTCAGAAACCTAAGTTGAAATTCAATATGCTTGCTACCACACTGGCTTGAGAGGGATGAAGAGGACCCGGTGAAACAAAAAGTTAATTTTTCCAGACGACATGAGGGGAATTCGAAGTGGGACAGAACCTAGTCAGGGGCCCGGCCTGGAGCAGGGGTCCCCACCCCGCCCACAGCAGCAGGCGCACCCCCACTGCTGGAAGGACCCCAGAGTGCCTGCTCCGATTCCCTCTAACCAGACCCACCAGTCACTGGAACCACCTTCGGGAAGAACAACCGACGTGGAGACACGTGTCCCTAAGTCTGAGGAAAGTGCAAGGAGAGAGGAGGAAGAAGGAAAGAAGTCAGAGGTGTAAACGCTCACCGCACCGCAGGCTGGGCTGGGGAAGGGGGCCAGGCTGAGGTGAGACAAAAGGCTTCCAGCAGGAGAGCCTGGTGAGAGGGCGGGGAGAGGCGACGCAGACGAGACCCAGAAACAGGGCCCGTGAACCCAGGGCAGCCCCTCAAGCACTAGGGCCCCTGGTGGGCAGAGGGGGCTCCCGCCCGGGGCCCCCACAGCTCGGCTGCAGACCTCGGGCGGGGATCGTGCGCTAAGGGGCCCCGGCACAGCTCCTCCGCTCTCAGTGGGACGAAGCCAGGCTGAGCTCCGGCCACACCCGACAGCTTTGTCTCAGACCCTGGGGAGAGCAGAGCCAGTCCAGGAGAACGTGGCCTCAGAGGCTGTCCTGGGAGAGAAGCCCCGCGCGGAGTTCCCTCCTGAGAAGGGGAGCAGGGCGGGGCGGCGCCCTCCCCGGCCACAGGCCCCCCGGACTCAGGGTAGCTGGCTCGGGCGCCCTCCCCGGCCACAGGCCCCCCGGACTCAGGGTAGCTGGCTCGGGCGCCCTCCCCGGCCACAGGCCCCCGGAATCGGTGTAGCTGGCGTCTCCCCAGCTCCTCGCCCCCAGGCCCCGTACCTTGAGGTTCCCTCGGTCCAGGGCGGCGGTCAGATGCTTGCGGGCCTCCGTCAGCTGGGGCCGGGGGCCTCGGGGGCTGGCGCCCTGCCGCAGGGGCTGCTCCTTCAGGTACTGCTCCAGCTTGGCCTCCCCGAGCAGGAGCTCCGCCATGTCATCTGCGAGGAGCACAGGGGGAGGGTGAGTGCGGCGAGGGCGGTCTGCGCGCGGGGGGCCGCAGGGGCCGTCCACAGCTAGTCCTCCTAACTCGAGAGAAGGTGCCAGGAGATGGCAGCGCAAGCTCTCATTCCTCGTCCCATGTTTACTGCGCTAGAAAGCCTGGCTGTTGTTCAGTCGCTCAGGCGTGTCTGACTCTTTGTGACCCCATGGACTGCAGCGCCCCAGGCTTCCCTGTCCTTCACCACCTTCCGGAGGTTGCTCAGACTCACATCCATTGAGTCGGTGATGCCATCCAACCAAAAGACAGATACACGTTAACATGGACAGACCTCAAGATCAGTAGGAAACATAAAGTTCTCTTATGATTTATTCAATATGATCTTCCAAGACACACAGACCCAGTGCTCTGTATTTTCCAAAGACAGTGCAGTGAAATCTAGCTCTTTTGTGGTCTATGGCCTTATACGTGGACAGGAGTTGGTAGAATGTCTTGTGTACTCAAGATTCTTAAAAGAAGTTTTTATGAAAATGACCTGAACACATGCAGTCTGTTTCTGCCTAAAAGTCAAAGCTCTACGGACATGATATCTGGGAATGTTTGTATGAAGGTTCTCCTCCAAGACTGTATTACTTACACTTCTAACTTTGTTAATGTCGCTGTTGGCTTGTTAATTGAAATAAAAATCTCACTGTGAGAGCAGCTCTTTGGAATCCACACATCCAGACTGTTCTGAGAACACCCAGAACAATTCATACCCCAGCCTGAACACGGTCTATTTTTTTCTGTGATGGAACAGAACATAATTGTATTAAAATATAAATGCAGTTTTTAGAGGCCTAGGAAAATATGCCTCAAGCTCAAACCCATGACAGGAGTTCTCTTTCATGGATCACAGCCTAGTTGTGGCAAAAGGGCTTATGTAACTCATGAAGCTATGAACCATGCCATACAGGACTACCCAACATGGACAGGTCATAGTGGAGAGTTCTGACAAAATGTGGTCCATGGAGGAGGGAATGGCAAACTACTCCAGCATTCCTGCCTCGAGAACCTCATGAACAGTATGAAAAAGCAAAAAGATATGACACCCGGAAGATGAGCCCCCCAGGTCAGAAGGTGTCCAATATGCTCCTGGGGAAGAGTGGAAAAGAAGTCTCAGAAACAATGAAATGGCTTGGCCACAGCAGAAACGATGCACAGTTGTGGATGTGTCTGGTGGTGAAACTTAAGTCCAATGTAAAGAGCAATATTGCATAGGAACTTGAAATGTTAGGTCCAGGAATCAAGGTAAACTGGACGTGGTCAAGCAGGAGATGACAAGAGTGAACGTAGATATCTTAGGAATAAGTGAACTAAAATGGACAGGAATGGGCGAATTTAATTCAGATCACCATTATATCTACTACCTTGGGCAAGAGTCCCTTGGAAGAAATGCAGTAGCCCTTTTAGTCAACAACAAACTCTGAAATGCAGTACTTGGGTGCAATCTCAAAAACGATAGGATGATCTTGGTTTGTTTCCAAGGCACATCATTCAACATCACAGTAATCCAAGTCTAAGGCCCAACCACTAATGCCAAAGAAGCTGAAGTTGATCAGTTCTATGAAGACCTACAAGACCTTCTAGAACTAACACCAAAAAAAAATGTTCTTTACATCATAGGGAACCGGAATGCAAAAGTAGAAAGTCAAGAGATACCTGGAGCAACAGGCAAGTTTGGCCTTCAGAATGAAGAAGGGCAAAGGCTAACAGAGTTTTGTCAAGAGAACTCACTGGTCAGAGCAAACACCTTCTTCCAACAACACAAAAGATGACTCTACACATGGACATCACCAAATGGTCAATACTGAAATCAGATTGATTATATTCTTTGCAGCTGAAGATAGAGAAGCTCGGTACAGTCAGCAAAAACAAGACCTGGAACTGACTGTGGCTCAGATTATGAGCTCCTTACTGCAAAATTCAGGCTTAAATTGAAGACTGTAGGAAAACCATTAGGCCATTCAGGTATGACCTAAATCCAATCCCTTATGATTTGTGGAGGTGATGAATAGATTCAAGGGATTAAATCTGATAGACAGAGAGCCTGAAGAACTATGGACAGAGGTTCATAACCTTGTACAAGAGGCAGAGACCAAAACCATTCAAGAAAAAGATATGCAAGAAGGCAAAGTGGTTATCTGAGGAGGCCTTATAAATAGCTAAGAAAAGAAGAGCAAAAGGCAAAGGAAAAAAGGAAAGATACACCCCACTGAATGCAGAGAATAACAAAGAAATGTAAGAAAGCCTTCTTAGGTGAACAATGCAATGAAATAGAGGAAAACAGTAGAATGTGAAAGACTAAAGATCTCTTCAAGAAAATTAGAAATACCAAGGGAACATTTCATTCAAGGATGGGCTCGATAAAGCACAGAAATGGTAAGGACCTAATACAAGCAGCAGAAAGTAAGAAGAGAAGAAGGGGCAAGAGTACACAGAACTATACAAAAACAGTCTTAATGACCCCGATAACCACAATGGCGTGGTCCCTCACCTAGAACCAGACATCCTGGAGTGTGAAGTCAAGTGAGTCTCAGGAAGCATTACAACTAACAAAGTTAGTGGAGGTGATGGAATTTCAGTTTAGTTATCTAAAGTCCTAAAAGATGGTGCTATTAAAGTGCTGCCGCTCAATATGCCAACAAATTTGGAAAACTCAGCAATGGCCGCAGAACTGGAAAAGGTCAGTTTTCATTCCAATCCCAAAGAAAGGCAATGCCAAAGAATTCTCAAACTATTGTACAATTGTGCTCATCTCACACGCTAGCAAGGTCATGCTCAAAATCCTTCAATTCAGGCTTTAGCAATATGTGAACCAAGAACTTCCAAATGTACAAGCTAGATTTAGAAAAGGCAGAGGAATCAGAGATCAAATTGCCAACATTTGTTGGATCACAGAGAAAGCAAAGGAATTCCAGAAAAACATTTATTTCTGCTTCATTGACTATGCTAAAACCTTTGACTGTGTGGATCAGAATAAACTGTGGAAAATTCTGAAAGAAACGGGAATACCAGACCACATGACCTGTCTCCTGAGAAACCTGTATTGTGGGTCAAGAAACATCAGTAAGAACCAGACATGGAACAAGGTCCACATTGGAAAGGAGTACGTCAAGGCTGTATATTGTCACCCTGCTTATTTAACTTATATGCAGAGTACATCATGAAAAATGCTGGGCTGGATGAACCATAAGCTGGAATCAAGCCTGCTGGGAGAAATATCAATAACTTCAGTTATGCAGATGACACCACCCTTATGGCAGAAAGCAAGGAGGAACTAAAGAGCCTCTTGATGAAAGTGAAAGAGGAGAGTGAAAAAGCTGGCTTAAAGCTCAACATTCAGAAAACTAAGATCATGGCATCCAGTCCCATCACTTCAAGGCAAATAGATGGGGAAAAGGTGGAAGCAGTGAAAGACTTTACTTTTTTGGGCTCCAAAATCACTGCAGATGGTAACTGCAGCCATGAAATTAAAAGACACTTGCTTCTTAGAAGGAAAGCTATGACAAATCTAGACAGTGTATTAAAAAGCAGAGACATTACTTTGCCAACAAAGGTCCATCTAGTCAAGGCTATGGTTTTTCCAGTGGTCATGTATGGATGTGAGAGTTGGACTGTGAAGAAAGCTGAGCGCCGAAGAATTGATGCTTTTGAACTGTGGTGTTGGAGAAGACTCTTGAGAGTCCCTTGGACTGCAAGGAGATCCAACCAGTCCATCCTAAAGGAAATCGGCCCTGAATATTAGTTGGAAGGACTGATGTTGAAGCTGAAGCTCCAGTACTTTGACCCCTTGATGCAAAGAGTTGACTCATTGGAAAAGACCCTGATGCTGGGAAAGACTGCAGGTAAAAGAAGAAGAGGGCAGGAAAGGATGAGATGGTTGGAATGGCATCACTGACTCAATGGACATGAATCTAAGCACACCCAGGGACACTGAAGGACCGGGGAGCCTGGTAGGTACAGTCCATGGGGTGGCAAAGAGTTGTCACCAGTTAGCAACTGAAAAACAACAAAAATTAACCAAAATATAGATACATATATATCACAGAGGACCCGCTGAGATTTGGAGAATTAGGTCTACGAGCTGTAATGAGAGCCTTTCCAAGTCCTCTGGTCAGTGACCCGAAGCTGCTGAATTGCTAGTTCTCAGCAGCGCCTCTGTCTTGCACTGAGGAGCTGATTATAGAGAGGAGACTGGGGGCCTGGGAGGAGCCAAGCAAGACCAAACGGGGCTGAGTAACACGGTATTATCCAGGCGTCTGAGAAGAGAAAGAGATTGCCTGGCACTAGCCAGGCCCTGGGGCTGCGACAACGCCAGGAATGTGAGGCCGTGTGCACACAGGGCCCGGGCGCAGAGCGGGGCCGGGGCGTAGAGCGGTGCCCAGGGCGCAGAGCGGGACCCGGGCAGAGAGTGGGGCCAGGGCAGAGAGCGGGCCCGGGGCGCAGAGCGGGGCTGGGGCACAGAGCGGGGCCGGGGCGCAGAGCGGGGTCCAGGGCAGAGAGCGGGGCAGGGCAGAGAGCGGGGCGGGGCAGAGAGTGGGGCCCAGGGCAGAGAGCGGGCCGGGGCGCAGAGCGGCCCAACAGCAGCCAGACACGGAGCAGCGGCGCCTCCTCCAGGAAGTGTGAGCCTCATGAGAAAGAACCCAGACTCAGGGGTGAAGGACGGGCAGGCAGAGGCCTGAGGGTGAGCATCAGAGCTTCCACCTACAGAAATACTGAAGGCGTGGGAGAATCACAGGGCAGAATGCGGCTATTATAAGCTAGTACAATGCAAAAACTGCATGTCAAAAACTGGGAGGAACTTCAGGGGGCCATGCCCTCATTTTTCAAAACTCTAATACATGTTAAAGAAAAAAACATGACTCCGATATTT